ATCCAAAATCACGCCATAGGGGCACGAAAGCACAACGAATGCTTCTACATCATTAGCAAAATTCGATAGTTTTGGTACGTTTATCTGAAATTTCTTTAGATTTGAACTATTTATGCATTTTCCCGCAATTCACAGCTCGAAGGCATTCGTTGCGGCATGATAAATAAATCGGGTCTCTGAAGATAGTACCTGGCCGACAGCTAATGTGTAGCTTTTTTTCCCGGCAACGACACAGAGCTTCCTTGTCCGCTCTATAGCTTCTCCATATCCAACCGCATCCAGCGTATTCACAACAATACCAACCGTTCGTGCATCTCGTAATTTTTCGATCAAAAGTAATCGTTTTCGCAAATGCACACTGGCATGGGTCCTAAACGGATTTTTCAAAACGTGAAAATACGCGGTATGCCTGGTTTTAAATACTATGCATATAATATATCACAAAATAATTAGGTCGAACTAGTACATGCATAAACCCAAACATGTCGATGCAATCATGCGTTTTTGCGCTAAACTTGAAGCAATCAGGTCGCTAACTTTGTGAATGATTGTTGCTTTACATTCAAGTTGTGCACTTATTGCTGTAAATCACCGTAAATTTTGCATAAAGGAAAATGAATAATTTGCATTGAGCGGGCTGTTCGTTGAAAATTATCCGGGCGGCCTAGTTCCGAATAGCATTTTTCCCGCCAAAAAAATCACGTGCCCGTGCGTGGGAATTACGCATAGCTGAGGGCTGGATTTGAAATTTTTAAGTTGTTCGTGGACAGGGAACATTCGCTTAAAATTCCAGCTTTCACTTATTCGGAGTTATCAATTTTTCCATCAAAATTTTCACTTGTCCGCACATGGGACGCAGGTGTGCGTGAAAATCGGTATCACGTTTCTGAAGCTACAGTTAGCCATGGAACACACTGGCAAAGTTTCAGCATCGAAATCTACCTGACTGCCAGGTAGAAATACCGAGCACACACACACAGACACACACACACAGACACACACGCACACACACACATACACACAAACATACACACACAGAGTCATTACAAAATGCGTTTTTGCTGCCTGCTGCAGCGCTCTACCGCTTGTTGCATTGCAAAAATGTATAATAAAAATTGAAGGTACCAAAGCTGCTCATATAAATTTTCATACCTAACTTTTTACAACCCCTAATAAGTAAGATATCTTACTGTCTAAAAGTTTTGATTTTCTAGACAAGATGCTGACGCTCAAGACCAAACACATTCTGAAAAGGAGAAGACCCTGCCAGGTGCTTCTGTTGGAAGAACCTTTAAGTTAGTAATCTCTATTCCCTTCAAAAAACGAGATGGGCACCAGGAACGTCCAAATGTTGATCACTAGGTGATGAATCAGCACTGGTCAAAGCGAATGAAAAACTTGCCATTTGTGTAGTTGCAGAACAAGACTATAAAATACAACTAGTCCAAGCACCCAAACAAATATTAGAAATCCTGAGGTTAGTTACCCGAAAATATAGAGTTCCAAAAAAAAAAATGCTAATTTTTGAGTTTTCAATAAAACCTAGTTTCAACTACTAGATGAATACTTAGCTGCAAAAATCAGGCCAAATATTGAATTTCAGAAAAAAAAGAATTTTTTTTTTAAAAAAATAACTTATACTACGAACCTCGCAAAAGAGCACTGCTGTGTAACCGGAGAGAATGTGAAAAGAGTGGTGCAACTGAGATTGCTCATCAACCAGAGGGGTAACAGTGGACTGCTTTCTTCACCTATAAATAGAACCGTCCAGTTACCGTCATCCTTTGGCACTCGTCGCCCCAAACAATTTGTCGCATCTGCAACAGGCATGAATTTCGTAAAAGCAATTTTTTTTTATTTTTCTCATTCTTACAAGAAAAAAAGAGACTGCCAGTCATAATTTACATGTAAATTTTTCACAAAGCTCCATCGGAGGGGGAGGAGGCTAAATACATTTATCAAACAGTTCCATTTATGCGGGACTACTGTGTGAGTTACGCGTTTTAGCTCATTTTTTTTTTCGAACTTTCAACGGCCGTAAACAACCACTTGACAATTTCACCCCTCTTCGGCCCTATTTGGATTGTTCAATTTTGGCCCGCCCTTCTACGGTCCCTTTATTCTTTTTCATTCGCGCTTTTAACGACACATAAATCCGCATTTTGACAAGGAGTTTTTGGATTAAGGAATAAAATCCAGTACCTCAGATGAAAATTTCAGTAGGTAAAAATTAAAATTGTCAGCACATAAAAATTTCTTCAAAGGCGACTTTTTTTATCTTCCAAATGTCCTAAGTTACCGTTCCATGTTTCAGAGTGTTTGTATGAAACACTGCTTCCAAAACAGATATCATAATTATGTGAATATAAATTAAAGATAAGTTCCACACAAAATCAAACACTCTCTAAAGCTTACTTTTTATGAAAAGCGAAGGCACTCGGAAATAGCTCGGGTAGTCGCAACCATCCACTGGGAAAGTCATCGGTGAAGTTTCAAATTAGTGAAAATTTAAGTTTACAAAAACAGAAATCGGCATACCAGAGGTACTGGGACCCGTGGCGTCACATCTTTCAATAAGTTGACAATGAAACACAGATCCCGTGCCAAAAAACTTTTCCAATGTTTTGAATAATTTATCTGAAATGAATTGTTTAAGGTAGGGAATCAGATGCAAAAAGCAGAAAGACTTTTAAAGTTAGGATCATCCGAGAAGCAGGCTGACCACCAAACGATGCAGCATGAGTCAAATTAACTGGAAAAATTGCCAAATGCGTTATTCGAGAAACAAAATATGAACTACAGATACAAATACTTGGGAACCGGATATCTATAAAGTTCTGGAATCGGATATCAGTAAGGTTCTGGAAAAGGAATTATTACTACGATTTTTTAATGCGTTTTTTGCACTCATGCAAAGCAAAAACGCATACTGTCGAGTGGTTATCTGTTTGTTTGTTTGTTTGTGTGAGTGTGCATGTGTGTGTGTGTGTGTGTATGTGCATGAGTGTGTATTTGTGTGTGCGTCTGCACCGAATTTTCATCTCGAGACTCAGAAAAGCTGCAAGATTGAAACTTTAGCAGTTTAGTCTACACCTATATATGAGCCCCAATCCACAAAACGAAGTCTCACGCCGTATGGTACTCACGTATGTGCATGTGGAAGCTTCTGGCAGGTAGGCTATTAATTCGGGGACCAATAAAGCTGGAAAACCGAAACTTTAAGGGATCCACTCACAATGAATGATATCAAATACAGCCCCTAAGTGTGTGTGGTCCTCACGTACGAGCTCGAGAAAATTTTTGGCAGATAAGTTGCTCACTTGAGAACCAGAAAAGCTAGGAAACTGAAATTTTAAAGGGATGTTTTCTCACAGTTGTGGTGGCCAATCTTATTTCTTTTAGTCGAAAAAAAACGGCACCGTTAGCGACAAAAACCTGTAGGGAATTGTGTAAAAAACGCATTTTCGCATCGGCAATCGGTGCACTTGGGTAAAAAACGCATTTTCGCATCGGCATGCGCCACTGTTCCATATTGTTTATCCTTATTCTTTGCTTTAAATTCCAGTCGCTAACTATTTTCACTTTTCCGCTTTTTATAGTAAGCAGCAATTACAGAGTTTGCTAGTGAAACTGCTACGGCACTGTTTTTTAACTGTCTGGTATTCAACTTCTACAGCCCACAGAGTTTGCGAAGTTTGCTTTGTTTTTCAAGACTCTATAGCAATTCACTATTTCCACTACATACGAATACCATTTTTTCGGAATTTATCTGAACGAATGACTTTTTCCGTTTCTTGGATACCACTTGATGACTGGCAATGTGAGGTATTACATGAGGTATAAATAATACTACACACCTCCGCTACTTGCATACATTGCATCGTACAGAAGGCAGCATTTCTGCTCAAATTTGTCTTTGTGCTGTTCCAGTGCTTTCCGGAGTTTCTCGCATTCCACCGGCATACTGCCGTACACATATCGCACTGGGAGACGATTACTTGTTCCCGTCATGCAGGAATCACCGTAATGAACGATGCAATCAGCAGCACATTGGCTCGCCCCCAGGACATCCACACAACAGCTAAAATGGTGAGATAAGTGCAAGAATTTACAGTGTCAAGATTTTACGACGGTCAGCAAAAGCACAGTTTTCCCGGAGATTTTGGAATCTGAAAGATATCTTGGATCTACAAAGAAACCTGCACTCACCCTGTACATGAAACTCGTGCCAATCCCAAATAACATAAGTAACACCTCATTAAACTTAACTCTGGAGTGCTGTATCACTAGATTCGCAAAGGTAGATGTTATACACTATTTTTGTTATGTTCTGTCAATTACACAGTTCTGAGAAAATGATCAGGAATGAGCTGAAAAATGCTAGAAACAACAACAGCCGGAAACCGGTTACAGGTTTTTTTGAACAATTCATTTTTATGTGTTTTGCGCTATGCAACAGCTAAACAAAACGCATATTGTCATGCCCTTGTCTGTGTGTGCATATGCGTGTGCGAGTGTGTGTGTGTGTGTGTGTGTCTGTGTGTGTCCGAATGCGCTTTTCCCCGCACTTTCAATTCGAGAATTACAAAATCTCGGGCTAAAATTCCAGGAGAATTTTCTCTGCCTATGTGCGACTCAGCAAATTTAAATTCAGTCCTCATGTATGCCTGGATCTCACGTATGGCCCAGTGGAAGTTTTGCAGGGAAAGTCACTAACTTGGAAGCCAAAAATCCAGGATGTAGAAATTTTGGAAGGATGTTCCCTGTTTAAACATTGCAGATTGTTCGCATGATCCAAGCCAAATCAGAGTGATACTAGGAAGATCAAATCTCAAAAATTTGCTTAGAAAAAACGAACCTCCGACATGCAGTGTTAGCCAAAATAAACGTTTTCACACGACCACCACATTCTTTTTCAATGATAACTGCAATCGCTGAGGAAAAGCAAAGAAACTGATCTGGGAATTGCAAGGCAACACGAGAATATCCGTGCTCTTTGATCCAGGATATTGTGCCGTCAACGTCGACAAACATGCGTAGCTCCTCATCATTCATACCCTGCAAATCATGTTCAAATAACTCATTCGTAAAGGAAGTAAAATTAGCTAAACAATCCTAGGATTGCACTTTCTACTTTATCTTAACTTTCCTTTTTCTTTTTTGACACACTGCATGTTATTTTTGCTGCAATCGTCACACTGAAGAGGTGCAGTTGTAGCACTGAACAGGAATGTATGCGAATTGATGGACCGAAACATTTCTATTCAGATTTTAACTTATTC